AGTCTGAGAGTGTTCCACTCTGCAAGTAGAGAAACACATTAACAACAAGACCTTTATAAAGCATTAACCTCACAATCAAAAGAACAGCCACTAGAGACTCCTTATGTTCTCTCTTCCTTTATAGCCTAGTCTCTTGCAAGAGTAGGCTACACTTCTTTAGTGTAATTTCTACCTTGGGTTCATACTCCACATCATTACAAGCTGGCCGCTCTTTCTGGGTAAATGGTGCCCCCGTCCACTCAAGCCAGAAATCTGGAAGTCATGCTCAAACCCAGCCTCTCCCCCACCTCACGTGTCACAATCACGTGGCCAGTTCGATCTCCCAAGCTTCACTAGAACTTGTCTTTTCCATCTCCCTGCCACTGCTTTGGTTCAAATTCCATCACCTCTCGTGGGCTTCACTGCTCCAACCTATTAAACATCCTCCTGACTCCAGATTTGTTCCCTCAACCCCAATTTCATTTCCTTACTTCTGCTCCTAGGGTCACATTTCTGAAACGTAAACCCTCTCTTAATCCCCAACAGAAAAATCTTCCAAAAATCCTCATTCGCCTTCAGGATTAAGATCATGTTGAACAGGGGTGCCTGGGTGGCTCAGTCATTAAGGGTCTGCCTTCGGCTCAGGTCATGATCTCAGGGTCCTGGGATCGAGCTCCACATTGGGCTCCCTGCTCCGCGGGAAGCCTGCTTCTCCCTCTCCCACTCCCCCTGCTTGTGTTCCCTCTCTCGCTGTGTCTCTGTCAAATAAATAAAATCTTTAAAAAAAAAAAAAAAAGATCATGTTGAGCATGGGGGCACCTGGGTGGCTCAGTCAGTTAAGCCTCCAACTCTTGGTTTCGACCCAGGTCATGATCTCAGGGTCCTGGGATCGAGCCCCAGGTCAGGCTCTGCGCTCAGCGGGACGTCTACTTCTCTGTCTCTCTTTCCTTCTCCCTCTGCCCCTCCCCCTTCTCAGGCACACACTTTCTAAAATAAATAGATAAACCTTAAAAAAAAAAATCATGCTCTATATGGAATGAAAAGGCTTCACCAATCTGCTTCGTATCAAAACTTTCAAGCTAAACTCCCCCTACATCCCCTTCACTCCATTTTCATTATCCAGCAGGCTCACTCAGGATTAGCTCCAGGACCTCCTCCCCTCCTTCTCTCTCCCACTCCTTCCCTGCTTAGGTGAATCATCCTACTCACTCTTTACAATACAGCTCAAAGACCATCTCCTCTGGGAATCTTTGAAGTATTCTAGGTCCTCTGAACCCCATTAGCCATTGCTCTAGGACAGTGCTCATCACACCGTATCACCATCACAGAACCGCTAATCCTTTGTCCGTTTCCCCCATGCATCCACGCAACCCTTGAGGAAGACAGCCTACATTTTCCACATATCTGAATCGCCACCTCTAGTAAGGTACGTTAGGTTCAGTGATGCCAGAAACAAATGATGACACAGAAGTCTGTGCGTATCTTACATCATCAAGCATCATCACATTATTATAGCATCATGCTTGGTTTTCCCAACAACTGGTTTCCTTTGAATTATAAGATGATGTCAAGCACACATCCCAATTTCAGAGATGTTTAAGGTGAAATATTGTATTCCATGAAATACAGCATATTAAGTAACATGATCATAAAAACTTTTGTAGTCAACAGGCTAGAAAAGCATTTTTTAAGTTCAAGTGTAGAAAATAAACCAAACTTAACTCTTAAATGAAGGTACCACATGTGCATTACCTTAAAATATTAGGATATTTTTCTTATGAAATGATCATTGAGCAACTGTTTGTATCCTAATTGTGGTAGCCTGAACACAAATCTCTATTAAAATTCACAGAACTATAAAATAAAGTTAAAGCCCCAGAAAATATTTCTAAACATCCACTAAATATGCCTGCCCTCTTTCCCCACTTTCCACCCACCGAGACTGGACTCCACCTCCATAGACCCCACCAGAACCCAAAGAGGACACTTACTTCTCTGACACTTCCACTCCATCTCATGATCAGTGACCCTAAAAGCTGTGATAACCTGTCTCCAGGCCCATCTGCCCACTCCCTCCATGTCCCAGCCCAGGATTCCTGTTGCTAATATAGGGCTGTTCTCCTTCCAGTCATTTCTCCGCCAGCCCAGGATTCCTGTTGCTAATATAGGGCTGTTCTCCTTCCAGTCATTTCTCCGCCAGGCCAGTTGCTGTGCCAGCCCAGCCTCTCCCCTCTCATCCTCCTCCCACCTCACCCCATCAACTATCCATCTCTTGTGTACTGTACCCTGTGAAATCTGGGCTCTGTTGGGTGGAGGAGAGGGGAAAGAGACAGAGGGGCTCACCTTGTGTCTTGACACTTTTATTTACCTCTTCCCCAGGGCAGACAGGGTCTGCTTTGAAAGCTTAAAAACTAACTGAACATGCTAAGACCCAGAACCCTGAGAAAACTGAACAAGCCTCAATATTGGGGGAGGAGGGGATGAGTTGGATAAACCTCGCAAGAAGCTTGAAATCAGCCCACACTGTCAGCTGTTTGTGAATAACCCACTGTATCCTAGAAATTTCTGAGCATGCTCCATTTATTTGCCAGAGTGCCCAAAGGAATCTGAGCACAATCCTAGGAAAGCCATCTTCTCCAACCCAACAGCTAAATGCAAAGAATGGATATTTCTCTAGACAGTGGTTCAGGTCATCCATCAATGAATATACATCTAATATGTGATAATCAACCATATCTGTATGTTTCATAAATTAAGTACATGAGTGCTAGAAGAAACTCTAGTGATATTCCATTTTGCTAATCAGGAAATGGAAGCACAGAAAGCTACAACCTAGTGTAACTTAGGAGACAAGCACGGAAGGTAATCTTCTTCAAAGACAAAAAAGACAAACTCCTACAAAGTACACACTAATCCCAAATGGAATGTCCACTGATTTTTTTTTTCTTAAGATTTTATTTATTTATTTGACAGAGAGAGACACAGCGAGAGAGGGAACACAAGCAGGGGAAGTGGGAGAGGGAGAAGCAGGCTTCCCGCTGAGCAGGGAGCCCGATGCAGGGCTCCATCCCAGGACCCTGGGACCATGACCTGAGCCGAAGGCAGATGCCCAATGACTGAGCCACCCAGGCGCCCTGGAATGTCCAGATTTTCATTACACAATTTGCAGTCAAACGTATGGGGTAAAAAATCATTTTAGGAAGTTGAGTGAGTTAGGCAGGGTCACTGCCAATATGTCGGACTGATAAAGATCCACCAAAGAGAAGACATGTGTACTTGAGTACGTGACCTTATATATGAACACCTCATGGGACTAAGTGGTAATAACTTTGTAAACAGTTTGGTTGTCTGGCCCACCTGCATGATGTCAAGGACTTTTCAGTATTTCTTACAAAACATCAAAGTTTTCCCCCATTAACCTCTAGATAGCAAATCTCTGTTAGGGGCCTAAACCCAGCATCCCCCTGGTGCACTCCAAGAACATGCAAATGTTAGAAGCCAGGGAGTATGAGGGTGAGGTTGAGGCATTCCAGAAATCATGGATAGCTTGCAGACAACCTGAAGCTGTTTTTGCCACCACTGGGACCAGAAAGTGTGTTATTTCATTAGCCCTTAACCTATTCTCTATTCTGTTTTGTCTCTCAAGGTTCCCTTCACATGCAATTTTTTTCCTGTCAATGCAAATTCTATTTCTAACTCAGGGACCTGTTAATTCCCACCTACATCCCCAAAGTTCTTTGGGAAACACTACCTGCTACCTTCCTCCTTTCTGAAAACCAACTACCACTTTCCTCAAAAGTAGCACTCAAACTTGTGTTGAATTTTGTTCTTTGTGGGTTTTTAAAAGCTTCTACTACAGTATTTATTGTTGAAAAATTAGAAAATATAAATAAGCCAAAAGAAAGTCATCACCCAGAGGCATTTACATACATATCCTTCAGACACATTTGTTTTTATAAAAATAGCAGCATTCTGGGGGTGCCCAGGTGGCTCAGTCAGTTGAGCATCTGACTCTTGATTTTGCCTCAGGTCGTGATCTCAGAGTTATGGGACTGAGCCCCATACTGGGCTCCATGTTCAATGCAGAGTCTGCTTGGGTTTTTCTCCCGTGCACGCTCTCTCTCCCTCTCATAAGTCTTAAAAAAAAAAACAAAGCAGCATTCTGAATCTTCATATAATAATGCCATCAAATTCCATGTCAATGCTCTCTAATGAAACCATTTAATGACTGTTTAATATTTCATTTTAAGCATAGGATATGATGTACTTAACAAATCTATTCTTATAAACGTGGGTGGTTTCCTATTTTAGGCTATTATAAAGCAATCTTGCAATGAAAATACTTTCTTAAAATACATTTATGTGTATATTTGTCTGATGCTTTCCTTGGGATAAATTACTAGAAATGATATCGCTAAGCCAAAAGGCATGTGCCCCACCATCATCCCCTTTTTAGGTCTTTTTATTCATATTGCCAATTTATCCTCCAAAAAGGTTATTCCATTTTACTCTCCTTTTTATTTATGCATCATTCAAAAAAATATTTATTTTGTGCTTACTTTGTGCTAGGCACTATCAACACAATCATAATTAACATAATAGACACAGTCCCTGCCCTCATGGAGCTTACAGTCTAAAGGAAGAGAAAGACAGCCATACCCACACTATCACAAATTCTTCATTATAAGCTGAGGTAAACTAAGAAGGAAAAATACAGGGCTTTTCAAGATCATAAAAATTTTAGAAGAACTTCATATAGCCTGAAGGTCTGGAAGAGTTTCCACAGGAAGAATGCTTCTGAGCTGGGGCTAAGGTTTTCTGTTGTAAATCAGGAGAAATTAGGCTGTGGAGAATCCTGGATAAAATATTCTAGGGAAAGGCAGCAGCACGGACAAAACCCCTGAAAAGGCAAGAAACAGGACCCATCTGAAAAAATGTAATGAAACAGCTCACTGGGGCTGAGGCACAGAGATGGTGGAAATAGTAAGGCAGAGGCCGGACCACACAAGCCCTCCAGCAGCAGTAGCAACTGGCTTCCTCCACTCTCACCAACTGCTAAAGCCAAAATTCAATAATCTGGGCTACAACAGTCAAATGGCCGTCAAAGCCGAAAGAACAACTGAATAATGACACAATAAACCGTCAATCAGAAAAATGGATATAAATAAACTTGACCTGAGTAAGGAATGTACTTTCAATCTGGTCCAGAACTTTCAAGCATACAATGTTATGTCCTGTATTTTGAACAATACAATTAGCTAAATACAACAGTTTAACAGTTGTTTAAAATATCTGCATACTCCTGGAGAGCAAAACATGAAAAAGTCCTTGACTTTAATATGTAATATGCTAAGACTAAGTCAATTAAAAAGTTTTTAAGTTTGTCAAAAGAAATTTTATATATTTTATTTAATTTGGAAAACATGTTACTTAGGTTCTACTCTGGAGAAAAAGGTACTCCACTGACTTTCAAAGGCAAATTTTCTTTATTCCGACTTCAATTTTCTTACAGAAACAGTCTTCCAAATAAATAAGAGTTAAAATCAGTATTTTAATATTCTTTTAAAAATCAAAAGTTTTAAAAGACATCGAGTATTCCCTCTACAGTGTTTTTATCCATGTAGATATGCAACTATCATAATTTAAAGGACACTTTTTAGTAATTAATTAGACTGTAAGAAAAAACTGTACAGGAAGTTTGTACTATAAAATTAAATCCCTAAGTGATCAAGGTCCTCGGTAATGGAGAGATAAAGAAGCTCAAAGGGGTCACTGCTCGGCAACCTCTCATAACTAAAGATAGCAGAATACAATCTGCTTTTGTGAAAACGAAGAAACTGCATAAAAAGTATCTTTCAAATATTCCCTATAAAAACAGGGAATGCCTATTAAAATGCCATTGTTTATTCTGTATAAAATATCCCTTCTACACCTTCAAAAGCTTTTTTTTTTTTGCTTTAAGATTAAAAAAAAAAGCCAAAGATATCCTTAAGAAACACCTTCTGAAAATTATTTCAATACAAGATCCAAGTTTTCCATTATTTACTGTCCTTACTGAAATTCACCTGCATATTCCAGAGAAACTTTCTAAACTTCACTGTTGATTAGCCTACTCCAAAGTAGAATTCTTTAGCAATACACAGTACATAAGACACAAGCTAAAATAGTCCTCACAAATATACTTTGAAATAGGTGCTTTTGAAATATATATTTCCAGACCATTATTTTTCCTGACTAAATTCTAGATTAAAAAAAAAAAAGTGAGGTTTTCAAACCAATGATGTGTGCAGCCCATTCTCATGACACAGTCATTTAAGCTTCTCATCTGCAAAACACAATGCAATGAATTATCAAAAAGGGGAAAAACAGGAGGCCTCATTTGGTTTACAATATAAAAACCATTAGCATTACAAAGCATGTACTACCAAATATTAAAGGTTGCACACTTTGCTGATAATCTCTTAAAACCTCTTGATTGTAAAAGTAACATTAAGATCAACATAGAAGATCTGGAAAATATAGAAAAACAAAGGAAAAAGTATGCCTGTAACCTTACCATTCAAATGGAACTGTTAGTATTTGGGGTTTTTCCTTTCAGTATTTCTTCTATTATATACAAGTAAGTAAGTAAAAAATACATGTGCCTGCATATTTTTTCTTGAACAAAATTAGGATATTACATTTGCATTTTAATCTTTTGTCTACTTAACATGTGGCATGGTAAGTATCTCTGACTTGGTGCAGGGAGGGAACTATTTCTGACTTTTAAAATCCTCAGACATGATTTAAACAATATATTATATAGATATATTCAAGTTGTTTCCAATTTTTTGACGTAACAAACAAGCCTGTTATAAAGATACATAAAACTTGTAACACTTCTGATTATCTTCTCAAGATGTATTTCTAGAATTACTATGTTAAAAGGAAATTTGAAATGGCCAAGAATCACCTCCCAAAAAATGCTTTGTTCTACAAGATTTTAACCTATATAAAATTCACAAAACTTATAGTTACATGGTATATGTTTACAAATAAATTTTTTAAATCATAAAAAACTGAATATCTAAAAAATCAGAAATCATAACAGGAAATAGAAACACTATTACGGTTTAGCACACACTCACGGAAAAAATAGGTTTAACTTAATGCCACACTATCTACTTAATTTGTTTCAAGTGAGTCAGAGAACACATAACGTTAGTACCAGGAGAAGATGAAAAATTATCTCAAATAGTTAAGAAAATGAAAAGATCAGAGAACAGAAGGGTAAGCCCAGCACAGAAGCTTAGGACAAAGACCTTTCCTCTAATAAATTACAAATACTACTGGTCTCGCTTTCTCTCAGAAGGCAATTTAAAACCCAATTATTATCCCTCTTCACTTTAACCCTTGATATACATCCTATTTAAATTTTCTAAACAAGAATTTTGTTATGGTAGTTTCAAGATAATAGCTAGCTCTTGAATCTCAAGAAGATTAATTTCTTAAAAGTCCAAACCTAATACCTTGAAATAAAATGCTAATGTTTGAGATTTGCAAAAGAAGTTAACTTTTCTCTTTTAATACTTACTCAGCATGAGAAAGTTTTATTTCTTCCCTTTGTCTTGCAGAATAATTTAGGTTCCCCCCTAAAACACAAATAAGTATAGAACCTTTTCTACACAACTATTAAAAGTAAAATTCACACACACACACACACACACACTTGCACTGGTATACCTTAAAGTAACAGAAAAAGCTATGGAAGAGGAGAAAGAAATAGTTTATTTCCTGGGACCTTCCCAAGGGAAAAAGCTGTTTTTTAAGAATCTTTATACGATACAAATACAAATAATCACTCCTTAATGTGAGCATTTTTTAAGTTTGGACTTATGTACTGCTTTACATCTTGTTAACTGGGACACTGTATTAATATTTAATACTGAAAATTAAGAGAAATTAAAGGAAATGACCTAAAATCACTTAAACAGCAGGTATATACATTTTACTAAGTACATAACAACCTTTAGGGGCAAGCTACTTAGAAAAATTAATAAGGCTAACATCAAAATCTTATACAGAACAAAGAAAAAAGTAAAAATACACTTAAAATATACTAGCAAAAGAAAAAAATCTGTTAACACCTCATTCTGTATCAAACACTTTCAGTCTTAAAATGCAAACTATAACTATAAATTTCTTTACTTATTTTTTTAAAGTATGAGACAATAACACAGTAATGGCTTTAGGTTATTATAAAAATGCCATACTTCTTTATGCTAACATAAAAAGAACATCTAAAATTTTATATTACAAAACTTAAGTTGAACTGGCCAGAAAGAACATGACAACAATTCTAATAAATCTGAAGTTCCAAAATACATAATTATATGTTACATAACGAAATGTGTTTCCATCACTATGAACTGAACGTCGTCATTACACGAACTAAAGCCCTGGCCTCTAAAGAAGAATGCAGACAATCCAGGGACCCCACAAGATGATCCAGAGTGGTTTAAGAAGAAAATGTCTGAATTCTACTTACCTCGGGCACGATTCACCACATAGAGTAAGACCACAGATAAAAGTGACACTGGAAGTGAAAAAAACACAGGGTCCTTAAAAAACATGGACTTCTTCCCAATGATTCCTATGTAATCATAATGACGAAGTAAAACTTAGATAAATCTTTATTGGTTGGCATTTAAAAATAAAAACACTATTCACATTATTTTCCAAAAAGCACTAAAAATTATTTACCCACCACTCTTTTTCCATGGGCTACATGAGCCCAGGGATAGCAGGACCAGAAACAAAGAAGTTGAGACAGAAGAAGGGGCTGATGCACCCACAGATCATCGCTGCTGCTCTTTACTCTCCCATTTAAGTGTTAGTCCTCTTGGTACTTCCAAAAACTCCCGCCAGCCCCTTGACTGTTTATCTTTTTACAGAGAACCAAATAGAAATAATCCTTTGAGGATTTTAAGTCTGAAAACACCATTGTTCATTTTACAAATTAACCCAACATTAGACTGCGGTCATCGTGACTCCCAGAAGCCCAGGGCCAGTGAAAACCTCAGAAAGTCAAGGCTTCCTTAGCAAGTAAGGCACACTAAATTTACTTTAAGTTAATATGGCAACAAAAACATATTTAAATGGCATGGTGTTTAAGAACCAAATATATATGGAATTGTGGATTGAAATTAAACCACATGTTCCAGCATCAAAAACAGACAAAAACACTTTCATGACCTAGTATTTTGAATTCTACATGACCCACTTTTTAAAAACAAATAATATATTTTTAAAATTTGATGTGCTTGCTTCTAAAATTATGAGATAATAAAATGCATTCAGGCATCTCGTAACAATTATCTACAAATACCACATTTCAAGTATAAATTGTCTTTTATCCCTGTAAATGTAAATGATAAAATCATCACTGGGGTTTGCCATTTTAAACACAAGTTAAAGCATAAAAGACATCTTGATATGTTATATAAGATTTTTTTTCAGATGAACACAACTATCTGTATGGTGAAGCCTACTGGAGGAAAATGCTATTTTTGTAGTTTTCAACAATTTCCTAATACTTCCTATTTTTAACCAATAAACCATTACAGGTAAACATTAAACAGGACCAAGAATAAAAGTAATTTAAAGTTGCCTAATGAATAAACCATGAGCACTCACACCTGAATCATACCAATGTCCACTCTTCACACGAGGGACACACCATCCTTTAAAATGGTTTCACTTTATGAAGAGGATAATGTTTTCTAAAAACCATAAATATTTAAAATAGAATATGAAGCAGATTCTACTACTACTTTTAAAATTAGGCACCTCCTAAAAAAATGCCTGTGAATCCTCAGAGAACAGAAAGCCACCAGCTGGGAAACTCTGATGCACAGACCAAGAAATAGTCAAATCTGAGAGATACAGCTTAGGGATTTGGTTTAAAAGAGGAAAAAAGAGAGAACAATAACAACAAAAACCTACAAGTATAAATGAAAACATTCTGTTACACATTAAAAGAAACTAAATGTAGCCATATCACATACTTACAAGAAACACAGGCAATGAAGAAAACTTCTAAAAACAAATAGCCCCTAGTATCCAATATCATGCCAGCAATGATGGAAATGATCGCCAACCCAAGATTCTGAATGGACTGCATGCTACAATTCAAGAAATACAAAAACACATTTCAATTTCAAAGTCTTTTTTTTTTTTAAGATTTTATTCATTTATTTGACAGAGAGAGACACAGCGAGAGAGGGAACACAAGCAGGGGGAGTGGGAGAGGGAGAAGCAGGCTTCCCGCGGAGCAGGGAGCCCGATGCGGCGCTCGATCCCAGGACCCTGGGATCATGACCTGAGCCGAAGGCAGACACTTAACGACTGAGTCACCCAGGCGCCCCTCAATTTCAAAGTCTTCACACAATTATGTAATCATAATTATGAAGTAAAACTTAGATAAATCTTTATTGGTTGGCATTTAAAAATAAAAACACTATTCACATTATTTTCCAAAAAGCACTAAAAATTATTTACCCACCACTCTTTTTCCATGGGCTACATGAGCCCAGGGATAGCAGGACCAGAAACAAAGAAGTTGAGACAGAAGAAGGGGCTGATGCACCCACAGATCATCGCTGCTGCTCTTTACTCTCCCGTTTAAGTGTCAGTCCTCTTGGTACTTCCAAAAACTCCTGCCAGCCCCCTGACTGTTTATCTTTTTACAGTTACTGCTCACAGTAACAATTCACTTTAAATATTAGTATCTATAAACGACATACTATTAGTGTTTAAAAGGTGTTTTTAACTAGGGATGACGTGAATTGGTATTTTCATTCCATGACTATTTCTGCTACTAGATGTTATGCTCAAAGGTAAGGGAGCCTGTCTTATTAAGTGCAATATAAGCTCAATGTTTTCCTGCGGAATGAAAGTAAGAGCTAAGTGAATACCAACCAAGGGTGCAGTTTCCCCCTTTTGCCCTTTGGGCCAGAGACCAGAACCCAACTTCTCACTAAGAAGCCCTCAGATAAACAGGCAATCAATGGCAATGTCAGAAACCACTTCTTCGGGGTTAGCTTAACACCAGCTCTCTTGCTGGAGGCTTGGAGCGTTTCTGTCACCACAGTAATATCACAAATAGCTTAACTGACTTTTCTGGTGGTTTCCAGGCTCAGAGCTGTCCCAGAAGCCTGAGGATGACTAGATTCAGGAGACCTGGAGTTTTATATGATAATTAAGTTGCTAGAGCAGAGAGAGACATTGTGGTGTAAACACTTACAAGCCATACGCAGTGCCCAGTTGATGTTCGGGAACTACGAACGCCACCATTGGCCACAATGCACAGGCAAGCAACGAATAGGCGAGTCCCAGGAGACACTGCAGAAAGTGACACAGAAAAGGGCAGAAGTCTTAACATTAACCAAAAGGTGATTTTCCTTTGATGCAGATTAGCCAGAGTGGCATAATAGCAAATATATGAACATTCATGCAAATTTTATTGCAATTATGCTAAAACTCACGTTTGATACAAAAAAGTCCTGACCCTAACAGTATCCCTCTAGTGACAAAATACACACACACTGTCTTAACCATTTTATATTATATGCACATGTAACTGCCTGGGCCCAGGGTACAATCAAGGACTAAACAAGAAAATACAGTTATTTTGCCAAAGTTACTACCAACGTTTCAGGCAAGCTAATTTTCCAGTATTTATTAACTACAAAGTAAGCAATCAAGGCAACATCACGCCAATAGTCCATTATCTTACCTCGGGTCATCAACACCTAACTGGAGGGCAGGGCAAAAAACTATCACCTAACGCTGACTTGTTCTTTAGTTAAAAAAGAAACTTTATGATTTAAGTTTAAATAAGATCATCTACACGTATCATATTGGCAAAGATTGAAATAGGGCCAATGCCCAACATGGCTAGGATACTAAAAACACACATTTGTATATTTTTTTTTAAATGTTTTATTTATTTATCCATGAGAGTCAGAGAGAGACAGAGAGAGAGAGAGAAAGGCAGAGGGAGAAGCAGGCTCCCCGCAGAGCAGGGAGCCCGATGCGGGACTCGATCCCAGGACCCTGGGATCACGACCTGAGCCAAAGGCAGACACTTAACCATCTGAGCCACCCAGGCGCCCCACACATTTGTATATTATTGGTGAAACTATAAATGGGTAAGAACTTCTTAGAGAAGTTTCACAATGTCTGTTAAGATGTTAAATGTGCAAAGCCTCTGCTATAGCATTTATACTTCCAGGAATCTGTCCTACAGAAATCTCACTAGTATACAACAAACATCTACGCCCAAGATATTCTTTTGTTAATAGGTAAGAAATGCAGCACTTAAGCCTGTGTGTGGTCTTTAAAATGACATTCTAGGCACACTTGGGTGGCTCAGATAGTTAAGGGTCTGCCTTCGGCTCAGGTCATGATCTCCTGGGATCACGCTCCCGGTCAGTGTGCTTCTCCCTCCTTCTCTGCCGCTCCCCACTGCTCCTGCGCTCTCTCTCGCTGTATCTCTCTGTCTCAAATGAATAAATTAAAAAAAAAAAAAAAAAAATCCTAAAAATAAATAAATAAATAAAAATAAAATGACATTCTAAAGAACAAAAACGTGAGGAATTCATTATCACTTTTTAACCTTCTAAGGGTCAAAGACAAAAGAATGCAAAATCATGAATCCTGGGCTGATAGATTTTTTTTTTTTTTTTTGCCACCTATGATGGAAGAATTTTTTAAAGAAGTAGAGGAAAATAAATGGAACTAATAAGCATTATGGCTTTTATAAGACTACTTTATTTCCAATTCAATTTCAGCATTAAGATTACCGTATCAAACACAGTATGTTAAATAATTAACATTTACTTTAACATACTTTAACATTTAATTACTTTAACAATAATTAACATTAAATAATTAACATTTATTTACTTTAAAAATATTTCTTTTGTAGAAACTGCAATCAAGTCATTGTTTTTCCCACTGGCACGAGCTCTGTTACCAGAGGAGCGGAGTGTAGCTCCTGACGTGCACTTTACAGAGTCCTCCCTGAAGCCCTGAGCCCTGCAAGCATCCACAGTGACATTACCATAGCAATCCAAGGGTTCCACAGCGTGAAGGCCAGCATGACATGGGCAGCAAGAGTGGTCACCACGGCACAAAAAACCCAGATGATGTTCTTTCCTGTTTTATCCACCAAGAACCCAAATATCGGGGACATGGGAGCTGATATGACATATACAACACTGCCCAGAGAATATAAAAGATATTTAATGAAATGTATCACAGCTGCCAAAAAAAAAAAAGAATCCCAAAAGTCCCTAAAACCATTAGGCAAAGCAAATCCTAGCTCATTTAATTTAGCATTCTTCTAAAATGGTCATCAGTAAACAGAAATTTAAAGATTAAAGAGTAGTCCAAGGTTTCTTCGGTTTTCCGTTAATGCAAAGATGGTCTCTCAGAATCAAGCACCAATATAATCTTGGTTTCACACTATGGATGTTAAGTCACATGTCTTTTTTGTCTCTTAGAACATTTGGTTATAATTAAAGACCCACACTATGCACACAATAAGCACTCACAGAATTAATGAAATACCTGTTAATAGCACTTGCTGCCTGGGAAGAAAATCCAAATTTTTCTATAAAGAAAACTCTAAAATAAAGAGAGAGAGAGAAAGAAATAAGCACTTTAGAGAGAACTACTCTGTTTTTAATAATTAAAGGCAAAATAAAACTAAATAAAAATAACTCAAGTTTAGTTAACTTTTCCTTCTTGATACTGTTTTCCCACCTTAACAGTCATCTTTAAACAACTGGCACTAAAGCTTTAGGGTTTATGTAAATATTTCACTAACTAAATAAAATACACTGATATTGATTTTTTCATTTTATTATTATTTCTTAAAAGATTTTATTTATTTATTTATTTATTTGAGAGCGAGAGGGACACAGAGAGCAAGAGCAGAGGGGAAGGACAGAGGGAATGGGAGAGGCAGGCTCCCGCTAAGCAGGGAGCCCGATGTGGGGCTCGATCCCAGGACCCCGGGATCATGACCTAAGCTGAAGGCAGACGCTTAACTGACTGAGCCACCCAAGCACCCCGAGTTTTTCATTTTAAATAAACAGCAAACAGTGAGCATAACTTTTCAGAAAACCAAATGAATTACTACATGACATTAAGAGTGCTTCTTTTCCTTAAAGTGGGACTGGATAGGTTCTTTGCAAGACAATGCCTAGAGTTCATTTCAAATTATTGAAAACAGTCTGAATTTAAAGGTTCTGATTACAAAGACACACCCCTATAAACACACTCACACACTTCAAGCAGCTGCCAGTGGAAAGGGAGAGGTTAGTGACAACACAGAAGAATTTGATTTTGAACCCTAGCATAATTATAGTCCTAGCAAATGGAAATGTGCCCAGGCATAATGAGCCAAAGCACTGTTTCCATTCTCAAGAATAGGCTTCCAAACAAAAGAATAAAAAGGAAATAAAAAAGAATACTAATCCAATTCAAAGCATTAAAATAAATCCATATTATGAATCAAAAACTATTAGGTATTTCATCAAAAAAATAATGAAAGTATTAAGCCAAATACTAAACCTTAAGCTAAGAAAATCAGTTATATACCAGGATGTAAGATAATTCCTGTGTAAATATAAACTATAACCAGAAAAGCAAGATATATAGCTAAAAAAATTACATTTGTGTGATTAAATTCTCACTATAATTTAGCCAACAAAAATGGGATGCACGAGAATACTCACTTTCCGAGTCCGATAAAAGGGAACACTGCCACATAATAACAGACGCAGATGATAAATATCAGCCACAGGGGTAAGGAGAAGTCCTTTACATCAGTTAACTTAATAACTTCACCTTGAAAAGAAAGGGAAGAAGCTATCAGCATAATTTTGCATACCTAGGTCAAGATTATTTTTCTTTTATCACGTGATTAACCTTTGCATTCAGTGTACAATACTTTTCTCAGTAAATTACTGGAACATAGCTTCTGGGAAAACTTAAAATTTAGACAAGTAGAAACAGACTGGAAAACAAAAGATAAAAAAACATGTATTAAGCCTCACTGGGCTTACAACACTACATTAGGAACTTATCTCATTGTAAATTACCTTCAAAGGTCTGCAATTTCCCAAAGCCCCACTTTGTTCGAATTTAGACCTACCTGTTTTTCCTTGTGCTTTATGAAGGATTCTCTCTGCTCGCTGATCCAAGTAAGCGAGAACCAAGGCACAGATTAGTGAAAGAATACATGTTATACCCCCTATAATAAAAAAGAGAGAGTTTTTTTTTTAAAGATTTTATTTATTTATTTGAGAGAGAGAATGAAATAGCGAGAGCATGAGAGGGGGAAGGGTCAGAGGGAGAAGCAGACTCCCTGCCGAGCAGGGAGCCTGATGAGGGCCTCGATCCTGGGACTCCAGGATCATGACCTGAGCCGAAGGCAGTCGCTTAACCAACTGAGCCACCCAGGCGCCCGAGAGAGAGATTTTTAATAGAGAATGACTGAAGGTTCCCAAGAGGCAGTACCTTACAGTAACAGCAGAAAACCTAGCAAATGAAATGGATGGCATCCAGACACATTTAAGAAAATCCTACAATTACTAAATCAGGACAGAAGGAAAGAAACAGCATGTGATAAGTACTCAACAAACAACAGTCACTCTTACTATATTATTTCCCAGTAGAAGGTTGGAGACTAGAGGGAAAAGACTAGAACATACTAGTCTAGTCTTTTTTTTTTTTTTTGAGAATGAGAGACAGAGAGCACAAGAGGGAAGAGGGTCAGAGGGAGAAGCAGACTCCCTGCTGAGCAGGGAGCCCGATATGGAAATCGATCCCGGGACTCCAGGATCATGACCTGAGCCGAAGGCAGTCGCTTAACCAACTGAGCCACCCAGGCGCCCCACTAGTCTAGTCTTGTAATGCAAGTACAGACTTTAAGAAAGTGGATGACCCGCTAGCAAATCTGTACTAATCTCTTAACTAAGTCTAAGCACTGATTATTGACAGATGCCAGAGGGAAAAAAAGTATAAAAGCAACGTCTGATTCTGTGATCATCGAATTTTCCTCTTGATTCCTTCCCAAAGTCTGTAACCCTTGCTCCTACCCTTTAGCAGCCCAAAGGGCCCCACCCTCCCACAGCACAGCTCAGCCAGGCTCTCCTTCCTTTGTGTAATCAGCATTACTCACTAGTGCTGATCTCACTATCATTAAAGCAAATCAGGATGAAGAGTAAATAAAGTTTACACTTCTCAAGATTTTTAAAAGAAGGTCAGTAAAAACATGGATCTTTAATTTCATAATGTGGTCTAGCTGAAAATTGCTAAAATAAAAGTCAGTAGATGTGGGTTCTACTTCTGCCACAAGCTGAATGATGTTGAACACAGAACTTAACCTCTCCGGGCTTCAACTTCACCATCTGTAAAATCAGAGGCTTTGACTTGATGGCACAGATCTTTTCTGGCACTAAAATTCTTTAAAATTCGCAAATTCTCCATTGTGGAGAGGACTGGAAAGAATACTGAAGAGCATCTAAGAGTAAGAAAAAGAGGTTTGAAATAAAGCAAGGGATTTGAGAGGTCAGGGAGGAAAAGAGAAAGCTCTAGATACAGGTTACCTGTTCAAGATTTCCTCTCCACTGCCCTCTTTCTACCAAACTATACCAAGGAATTATAAGGAATAAAAGATGGCACAGAATGTTCAACTCACCATCCCACAGGTCTCTGTAGGGCTCTGCAAGTGGTCCTTTTACCCACTATGGGGGCTCAGTTACAAAAATCCACTGCTCAGAGAAAAGCACAGGTGGGAACTCCAGAAGGCCTCATATGTTTCTCAGTGATCCACCCAGCAACCAGCACAACCAAGCCTTACCAACAGAACTTAGGGCCAGAAGGGACCTATACACTTTTAGTCAAACGCCTGAAATTTTACAGAAAACTAAGACACAGAGGTTCACTTCCTTGTCCAAGATGACAGAACTAGTTAGAGTCAGGACTAGAACCCAGACTCCTGACTCCCAACTTAGTGGATTTCCTACAACATCATATCACCTCTAACTTCTGTAAAATCTTAGGTCCATAGGTATACTAATTGAATTTGATCAAAAGGAAATAATTATGCCTCTGCTATAGACTAGCAACACCTTACATGTATAAAGTCTCTGTTTTCAGAATTTTCAAACACAATCTCTTAATTTGCTCACCATGACAACGCTGAAGTATACAGGGTGGGACAAAATCCTCCATTTTAAGAAAATGGAAATAGTAACACAAACTGGGTAAAAGATTCAGTATTTCTAGTTAGGTCCAAGAACTCGTGAACTGTTCAGGCAAAACTATAACCAAGTGGTCTAACCCTGATTCCAGTGTTCTCTCCTCTCTGCCACAGTACTTCCTATGACGTGCTTTCAGAAGATACAAAACAAGGGACATCAGGATCCACTAACCAATCATAAGTGTGACCCCAAGGGTTGTGTGACCAGCAGAACCCAACGAAGCTTCAACCTTAGAATACAGCCATCCCATGAGATTCATGTTTACTGTACTTCCCTGAAAGAGAAGGAAAAAACATTTCATTTATATATGCTCTGCCTTATTCAATAAAGGATGTGAGATGGCTAGGAGAAACAGGTATAACAGGATCCAGATTAGACAAGAGATACATTTTTTTAAAAAACACTCTCGGAAAAAACTAACACACTAAGATAAAGCCACAGATAAGATTACTGCGCACGCACACACACACACACACACACACATGCTAATTTATAGAAGATGCTAGTATTGAAAACAGCACAGTACATTTAGAATTTTCTAGCAACAAAAGCAAAAATGAAACGAGTGACAAAATTCACACCGTACCTAAGAATAAAATAAACTTCCACTCAGAAAAAGCACAGCCTTTGCTTATACTTACACCTTAAAAATTCATCCTATCCATAAGAAGACAATAAAAGTTACAGAAGATAATATCCTCATTCACTTATTCATTCAGCAATTATTGAGCCCTCACTGAACCAGTCGCCGTTCTAGGTACTGGGAATATAACCAAGAACAAAACAGAAAAATCTCCAGCTTTCATAAATCCTACATTTCAAAGGAGTAGAAGAGGTAAAATATGTAGTATATTAAATTGTGCTAAGTACTTTTAAAAATAAGGAAAAAAACGCAGGGAAAGAGAACATACAGGGGTGGAGGCCTCACTGAGATTGTGCCTTCGAGTAAAAACTTGAAGGCGGCTAGCCACGAGGTGATCTGGGGAAAGGACAGGGCACTGAGGCCGAAGGAACAGCCGGTGCACAGGCCCTGAGAGCACAATACGGCGGCGTGCTCAAGGAACAGCAGAGATGGCAGAGTCTGGGACGGTGTCAAGGAAGAAGACAGAACACGAGACGCGATCTCTGGAGAGGAAATGGTGGGGAAGCAGGCTACAGGTAATAATATGGACTTCTGGCTTTTATTTTGTGTGAGATGGGAAGCGAAGAAGCATATAGAAGTGGCAGGATTCCACACATTTTCACAGATTTGCTCTGGCTGCTGTATTCAAAAGAGACTATAAGCGGGAATAAAGGCAGAAGCAAGGACATGCATTAGGGGGCTACTGCAAAAATCCAGAACAGAGATGGATGAGTCTTGGACGAGGATGGCTAGCAGGGGGCATGGTGAGAAGTGGTCAGAATATGGATATATATATACTTTTAATTTATTTATTTGACAGAGAAAGAGAGAGAGCACAAGCAGGGGGAGTAGCAGGCAGAAGGAGAGGGAGAAGCAGGCCCCCCGCTGAGCAGGGAGCCTGATGCGGGGTTCGATCCCAGGACCCCGGGATCATGACCTGAGCCCAAGGCAGATGCCCAATGACTGAGCCACCCAGGCGCCCCTAGAATATGGATATATTTTGATGATAAAGCTAATAGGACTTGAAATGGAAAACACATGTTGTGGCGGGGGGGAGGAGTAATTTAAAATGACACCTAAGGTTCTGCCTGAGCAAATGGAAGAAAAGAGTTGCCTATAAGTGAGGATGAGAAAACTACAGCATAAGCTGGTTTGGGGAGGTCATAAGTAGAAAATTAAGAGCTGGCTTTTGGCCATGTCAGGTCTGATGTGCCTACTAGACATCCAAGTGGAAATGTCAAGTAGGAAGCTGCATTATAGGGATATGGAATTCAGGAGAAAGGTCTGGACAAGTGATACAAATTCAGGAGCAAAGATAATACTATTTAAAACTTCAAAACTAGATAAAATCACCAAGGAGGTAAGTGTCAAAAGAAAAGAGAAGATGTTCAATAACCATGCCCTAGGGCACCCCCACATTTACAAGTTCAAAAGACTGAGATGGAACTAGCAAAATAGGCCAAAGGAGTAAAGAGAAAGGCAAGAGGGAAACTCTAAAACTGTAGTGTCCTGGAACCCAAGAGAAGAAATCAAGGTAGGGGGAATGTCAACTGTGCTAAATACTATTACTGACAGGTCAGACACTAAAGACTGAGAAATGAACACGTCCTCAACAATATTCTCACAGCAAACACAGTAGCAAATTTCACACAGCTATTTCTTACAAAATGTCAACCTATGGCTTTACTCAAATGAGCAAGAAGGTGTAAATGGAGACCTACTGGAAACTTTCCTCACTATCACTGAAAATAAAAGCTTCTCAGAGACAGGGATGCTGCCTTAAAAATCCTTTAATTCTAAAATGCCTAACATGACATGGCTTAGCAAGTCCTCAATAAATATTCATTGAAATAATGAGTTTAAAAGTAACAAATTACAAATGACAATCAAAAGGGTGCTGGACTTCCAACCCCCAGGAAGATATAAATAAGTGAGAAGTCCACTGCCTAAAGGTGTAATGGTAACAGATCAACTGTCCAAAATAGACAAACTCACAGCTCAGGCTACAGAAAAATCATGTGGAGGTAAAGCCAGAATCTCTATGAACCATTCTGAATATGCACAGGGACAAGGAAAGTGCAAAAACACTGAAACTCCATCTACCCCAGCAGCTCTGTAATGGAATTCTTTGGTCTCATGCATCTTACAAGGGCCCTAAGCACTGAAATCAGGTCAAAGCTGAGCTGTCCTGGCTGAAGAGGAGGTGGCTGCTTGAGGTCCAGCTCACTCTACCTCCTCCTCGGTCCTCCCATCACCCCAGTAACCTCCACCCTGCATCCTCGAAGCCGCTGAGATTCCTTTCTAAAAACTTAGGGCTTTCAGGGCTTTCAGAATGCAGCTCAATGGATTAGAGCTAATTTGTGAACCACACAGAAAAGAATCCACCAGTAGCCACAATGATGTCACCAAGATTACATCTTATTTCCTTCTTCGATAAGTTATTAGACAACGAGACCCACAAACTGCCACAGACATATCTTGACTTGCACAAGATACATAATGAGGTACTCAGAATATCCTTGTGGATAAAATTTAGACAATATGCAAAACCATACTAGCTAAGAATTACAAATTAAAGTCATATTTAGGTGTTTCCAATCAAAAATGATTTTTTAAGTAATAACAGTCTCTACTATCAAAGCTATAATAAAAATGATCCTTTCATATCCCACAGATGGGGATGTAAACATCGCGGAGAGGATAATATGAGACTACTGTCCTAAGAAACCCTAACAAATCCTCTTGATTCAATTCCATTCCCAGCGATCTAGCTTCAGGAAACAATCAGAGATGCAGACAAGTTTTATAGTGTCACACAACAGCGCTATCTATAATGGTTGAAAAATTAGAAAGAACCTACATGTATAAAAATCACAAAAATGTTATACAGATTACATGTATACGTTATATACTTTATATAATGAAATAGTACTTTAAAAACTTTTTGTACTGGACTTCTTCTTCCCTAAGAATATCTTACAAGCATTTTCAGGCCAATAACTAGTCTTTGGAACCTTGATTTTCAATGGCAAGGATTTTTTTTTAAAAAACCTCTATTCATAGGAGTTTATGAGGAAAAAAAACCTAACAGGATTTGGGGTGGCCAAACATCTCACAGGTTGCATTAATAAAAGTATAATGTTTCCCTGAGTACCCTCTATCAGACCAAACCTGAAACACCACAAACACTTTCAGGTTCCAAATGCTGGGGAAAAGTACTGAGCACCTGCAGTAAGCCCAGACAGGTGGGAGCACCATGACCAGGGAACTGAAACCCATGTCATATGGCTTAGACAACCACAGGAAATGAGCATGTCTGATGAAGAACTTAAAAGCTGTCTTCATAAGCAAAGTGCTGGCGCACGAAAGAGGTAACAAATGTTAACTGGAGGGCACAAGTGGGAGCAACGAGAAAAAGCTACTTGTGGAGGCAGATTTCATCTCTACGTGAGGCTGAACTTCATAAAGCTCAAGTACAGGAGCTGCCCTATCACACGCATGGTGAGCTTCCAATCACTAGAAATGTGCAAGTAGAGTCTGGAAGACTTTCATACCAGGGATGGGCAAAGAAATCTGATGACAAAACCTGTAAGATCCCTCCCAATGCTCAGATTCTTTGAACTAATGAATGCTCAATTAGTCTTTTTAGACTGTTTCCCAAGTGAAGTAAGGTCAAAAATGCCTTAAAGTAATAAGGTAAATGCTATACTATGGTCAACAGATATATATAAAAAATCAATACCTAATAAAGCAAACAAAACCAATTCATCCCATTATTTTTAAGAGATAATTACAAGATTAAATCTCTTACTTCCTGTTTGGCTTCATTAGGTTTGTCATACTTACAATTCTAGCCATACTAAGTTGGAGTCCAAATACCAAGTTTAATTCTTTGCCTTTAAACCAACTCACAGCGTATGTATTCTGGGCAACTGCTAAGGACTCCCCACCAATCCTAAAAATGAGAAAAAGAAGAAAAATTACTGCTTTTACAGAAATACCACAGTTAGCAATGCAAGTTTAAAATTTTGACACCCCTCCTATCAAAAGGTGGGATCTATGTCCCCACCCCTGACTCTAGGGGGGTTGAGACTGCTTCAATCCATGTAATATTGTGGAAGTGGTGCTGTGTAATCAAAGCTGAAATCTACCTTTTCACTCAAACATTCACACTTGAAGCCTGAGCCATCTTGTAAGACATCCAACTACCCTCAGTACACCATGCTATGAGAAAGGCAAGCCACACAGAGAGGCCACATTTAGGCACTCCATCCAGCAGTGCTAGTCTTCAAGTTGTCCCAACCCCAGAATGAGACATATGAGTCAACAAGCTTTCAGATGATTCCTGCACCCAGCCTTCCATGAATCTTTTGAGCTGAGGCTCCAGACATCTGGTGCACAGACAAGCCATCCACGCTGTGCCCTTTTCAAATTCCTGACCCAAAAAGTCCACAAGCACACTGTAACAGCTGCATGACACTGCTAAGTTTTGGGGATTGTGGTATATAACCATGAACTATAATAAAAGGAATCTGGGTCAAATCACCACCTATGCTATATAAAATGTTCATGTGGGAAGAGTGGTTCATATTTTGTGGAAACATAAAATTCACATTTTTCAGCCCAATACCTTCCATATTCCACATTTTCCTACTTCGTGGATTTTAACTTTCATTCTGTAAGTTCTACATATTGACCATTCCTCCTCTAGGCCTTCAGTTAGGAGATTCTCCTCCATATCCTAACACTGAGCCCTCCTCATGCTGTCCTAATCCAAAAATACTCTCCTTCTCTTCTACTAATCCAAATCTTATACCAATGTCGAGACCATTTCCGGTCTTTTCTGACCACCCCTCTGTCTCTGGATCCCTTTCATATTTTTAAATACATTTTGTTTCCTTCTCTCTCAGAGCATTTTTTAGGGTGTATCATATATGTCTACATGTCCCTAGTACTTATAAAAAAGCTTAAATAAGTTATGTCATCTGCATTTCTCAGGGCAGGAAGCCCAAGGTTGGACTCAGAATGGACTTACTGAACAGACATTAAAATTCATGAAGAATCATCAGTCTATTGGTATTTTGCTCATTCAAGCCTCTTTAACAGGGTTCAAAAGGACCTGTACATTATCCACTAAGAAACAGCAAAATGTCCATAAATCACCAACCTAGAAATGGTTGGTCTACACTTTTCTAAATGCGGTTTAAATCAGCCTTCAATACAACAACAACAAAAAAAAACACCCAGGAAAAATATTTTTGCAGAACTACTTAATATTCAAACCCCATATAGAGTTAACTATGACCACTCAAAATTGTTGCTTACTTTAAAGGAAAAGTAAGACAATAAACAGTCTTGTGTATATAGCTAGATTTCAAGGATTTGAGGTAATTCTCCAGAAGAGACAGTAATATACTTTTGTGAATCTTTAATAAATTGACAGGTCAACAGTAATATATTAGGATGAATGAAATTATGTATAACTTACCCAAACACAAACCTTCCAAATTCCATCAGCCAAAAAGCATTAAATATTCCACCCAGAGCAAAAATCACCTACAATGTAGAATATAAATGTAGAATCAATGAAAAAGTAAACTTAAAAAGTATTCAAGAGAAATAAGTAACTTATAATGAATCACAGCTTCTACAATAGTTTTAACATTCCTTCTTAGTAAATCTGTGAAATTTAAATATTAATGTTCATCTATCTCAAGGCTTAAAATGGACTACACATTATGCTACCTGAGCATTTGTGGACCCTGCTTAATTAAGCCAGGCATTCAATAAACACATTTTTGCTGGTGGAATCAGACAAGAATTCAAAAGTCGCTGTTACATAATCAATGAATGTTTTGGACTTTCTTACCTGCCCAATGCAAACAAAGCAGCTAAAAATAATGGTGCCCCATCTGTTAGAGAGCAACAGAGACAGAGAGAGAATGAATTAAGACTCTGTCACCAAATCCTTCAGTAATAATTCTTTAGTCTTCTTTGACCCGTAGACTTCAGTCTTTGACCCCTATATATTCCCTCCAAGGAAAGAAAAACGAAGTGCTGGTCTGCCTCTAAAGGCAGCAGCTTTCCCAGGCTAAATGTTAATCTGTGTAAGTCTTGACTTCTAAGGGGACTCCAGAGGCTTCAGTAATGACATATTTTAGCTTAAACCATTATCATCTCTTAAACAAACAAAACTTGTTAAATAATCTTCAAGAAGTTCCCAGGGTTCCCACTCAAAACCCGACATTCTTGGGGTGCCTGGGTGGCTCAGCCAGTTAAGCGTCCAACTCTCGGTTTCAGCTCATCATGATCTCGTGGTCCTGAGATGGAGCCCGACATCAGGCTCCAAGCTTGGTGGGGAGTCTGCTGGAGGTTCTCTCTCTCTCCTTCTGCCCCTCCCCCACATGCGCATGGACATTCTTTATAAAATTACTATAAGAGTTTAGAATTTATTCCAAGATTAAGTAATTTTAAGTAGTTATAATTCCCGATAACTAAAAACTTTTTATTTTATTGATTTTGGGTTTGTTTGTTTTTTTTACTATAGTTGATACAGTGTTATAATACTTTCAAGGACACAACATAGTTATTTGACAAGTTTATACACTATGCTCTGTTCACCATAAGTATAGCTACCATCTGTCATCATACAACACTATTACAGTATCATTACCTATATTCCTTTTATTCCTCTGACTTCGTTCCATAACTAAAAGCCTGTATCTCTCACCCTCCCTTCACCCATTTTGGCCAACCCTCCCTGCCCTCCCTTCTGGCAACCATAAGTTTGTTCTCTGTATAGGTATGATACTGTTTTTTGTTTATTCATTTGTTGGTTGTTGTGTTTTGTTTTTTTTCAGATTCCACATATGAGTGAAATCATATGGTATTTGTCTTTGTCTGGACTTATTTCACTGAGCATAATAACTATTTTTAAAAGGACAAATATCAATCAAGTTATCTGCCTACTCACACATTCTATACTTCAAATATCTGATTAATGTTTCCCCAGAGTAATAAAACACCAGTATTAAAAGAGTCCTTAAAGATTCCACGAGTAAACCATGCTTCTGAAACTCAAATCCCTCTCAAGATGCTTGTGAAATGGCCATCCCACATTCTACTGAAATGTTCTCTAGCAACTAGAAAACTTCCTGTGGTCCCAAGGCAAATCACGGCCCCTCATCAAACTGACCAAGCAAAGTCTCCATCATACTAAGTAGAATCTGCCCCCCTTGAAGTTTCAAGCTAATTCCATCCCTTCAGACCAAGCAAAATAAATTTAATTCCTCTTTTATACTTAACCCTTCAAGATTTTTAAGTCCCCGAGTCTAAACACTTTCAGTTTCTTCAATCCTTTTCCATCAGACATGGCTGAAAGATGCTTCATCATTTTTCCCTCTGCCTTCCGAAAATATTCCCAGACTGCATCCCTCTTTAAGTCTCCACTAACAATACATACACAACCGTAAGGATAAAAAATGACAAAGCTTATAATGTTATTCCTCCCTCAGCATCTCACAGAAGTGGCCACAAAAAGTTCAATGCTCAAGGGTAGAAAGAGAAAATCTCACTGGGGCTGAGACAGATAAATACTATATATGTCCCAAATACTATCTATCTATCTCTTTCAATCCTTGTAACTACCTTGTAAGGCAAGAATTATTACCATACTTTACCAACACAGAAACTAAAGCTCAGGAAGCTAGGAACAGCTCAGAACAGGACGCTGAGTAAGTGGCAGCAATGGGATTCAGACCCTGGTTTGCCTGATCCCAAGTGAGGACATTATTTACACTTTTAGATAACTGAGTTACCATATTTCATGAATAGCATTTACTAGTCCCGACCTTAACTGACATACCAACCAAGTTTCAAAAGCCAATTCCAGGAATATATAAAAACCATAAAAAAAAAAAACTAATGTAGATTATTACAGTCAATACAGTTTTACTCAGTTCTTCATAGAAATACCTTAATCTAGTTCTGTGTTTTCCTAATAATATTTTACCCATAGGTGAGATGTTTTTCAAGCTTACCGTATTCCAAATACTCGGTCTATCAAAAAGCCACCAAAAAAACACAAAACTACATTGGGCCAAGAATACCAGGCATACAGCAGCATGAATCTCGTCGTATTCACCTGCATATCCTATATGGGAAGAAAATAAAACTATTTTTTTCCAAACAGTTAAGTTTAGCAACAAATCGAAACATTCTTTTTGTGTAGGACAGGAGTTTCTAAATCATTTGTAGTCACTAACTGCTTTGAGAATTTCATGACAGCTATGGCCCTTGCCCCAGAAAAATGGTCACACCTGGGATCCCTGGGAACTTCCTGGGTCCACATGCCTTTCAGAGGCTTCATGGAGTCCAGGATCAATTAGATCCCCCATTACTGGAACCATCTCCCTCTGCACCTGCCTGTATCTTCTACATTCTTATTCCCATTATACCATATGCACTGGTGTTCCCCCCACATGGCAAAAGATAATCTTAGCCCATCCCTACCCCCCCCACTAAACCCTACCTTCTTTCCCTTTCATTCTAGAATGTGAAGGGCCAATCTATTTCTTCCTGTCCAAAGGTAAAAACCTTAAAAAGCAAAAACTATCTAAATACACAAGAAACTATAAATATCAAATGTATTTTTACAAAACCAGACTAGAATACTGACATGGAGAATCCTCAGCAGTCAGCATCCACATTTAAAAAAATGGAAGAACAATAAAAAAAGACTTATTTAAGAAAGCAAAAAGCTATCCTACAGAATCATCTGTCATTCAGATGATTATGCAATTGGAAAGTGAATTGCAAACAAAAATCTGCTAATACTTTTTGGTAATTCTGTGGAAATAGCAATTATTTAAAGTGTAAAACACTATCTAGTCACAAGTGCTATAAATGAATTCTTTGTGGTCACTCATTCCAACTCAAGAACACTCCTTACTACATATGGATTTTACTACAGATGTTAAAATGGATTCAATGGACAATATTTCAGACTAGGCAATCTGAGACCTGATGATGCCTCAACAGCTTTCCTTACTCCAGAGAAACAAAGTGAAAAATCAACTTACCCTTTTAACCTGAGTCTGAAGGGCAGCAGGATTATCATAGCAAAAATAGCTGCCTAGAATAAGGAAGAGCAAACATTTTATAAGTGATAATACTGCCCATATAGAAGTTTCAGGTTGCAAATATTATTCAATTGGTGATTTTCAATGATTATATGAGGCGCTCCAGGACTGACACCCATGGACCACCTCCCTTCCACTAATATTTTCTAAGTTATAGCCAAAATAATGCAGAGAAAACATGCGAAATCATTTACAAATTATTTTTGTGCATATACAGCAAATACTGGGAACCTAGATTAAAAATAAACATTGTTAAAATGTCTATCCTGCCCAGAGCAATTTACACTTTCAATGCAATCCCTATTAAAATACCATTGGCATTTTTCAAAGAGCTGGAACAAACAATCCTAAAATTTGTATGGAACCAGAAAAGACCCCAACCACCAAGGGAACGATGAAAAAGAAAAACAAAGCTGGGGGCATCACGTTGCCTGATTTCAAGCTATATTACAAAGCTGTGATCACCAAGACAGCATGGTATTGGCACAAAAACAGACACAAAGACCAATGGAACAGAATAGAGACTCCAGAAATGGACCCTCAAATCTATGGTCAACTAATCTTTCACAAATCAGGAAAAAATATCCAATGGAAAAAAGACAGTCTCTTCAATAAATGGTGCTGATAAAATTGGACAGCTACATATAGAAGAATGAAACTGGACCACTCGCTTACACCATACACAAAGATAAACTCAAAATGCATGGAAGACCTCAATGTGAGACAGGAATCCATCAAAATCCTAGAGGAGAACATAGGTAATAACCTCTTTGACATCAGCCACAGTAACTTCTTTCAAGACACGTCGCCAAAGGCAAGAGAAACAAAAGCAAAAATGAACTTTTGGGACTTCATCAAGATAAAAAGCTTCTGCACAGCAAAGGAAACAGTCAACAAAACTAAGAGGCAGCCCACAGAATGGGAGAAGATATTTGCAAATGACATTACAGATAAAGGGCTCATATCCAAGATCTATAAAGAACTTTTCAAACTCAACACTCAAAAAACAAATAAGCCAGTCAAAAAATGGGCAGAAGACATACAAATGGCTAACAGACACATGAAAAAATGCTCAACATCATTAGCCATCATGGAAATACAAATCAAAACCACAATGAGATACCACCTTACACCAATCAGAATGGCAAAAATTAACAAAACAGGGAAACAACAAATGTTGGCGAGGATGTGGAGAAAGGGGAACCCTCTTACACTATTGGTGGGAATGCAAGCTGGTACAGCCACTCCGGGAAACAGTATGGAGGTTCCTCAAGATGTTAAAAATAGAGCTACCTGATGATCCAGCAATTGCACTACTAGGTATTTACCCCAAAGATACCAGAGGTAGTGAAAAGAAGGGCCACATGCACCCCAATGTTCATAGCAGCAACGTCCACAATAGCCAAACTGTGGAAGGAGCCGAGATGTCTTCAACAGATGAATGGATAAAGAAGATGTGGTACATTTATACAATGGAATATTACTCAGCCATCAGAAAGGATGAATACCCACCATTTGCATCGACATGGATGGAACTGGAGGGGATTATGTTAAGTGAAGTCAGTCAAGCAGAGAGAGACAATTATCATATGGTTTCACTCATATGTGGAACATAAGGAATAGCGTGGAGGACCACTGGGGAAGGGAGGGAAATCTGAAGGGGGAGAAATCAGAGAGGGAGAGGAACCATGAGAGATTATGGACCCTGGGAAACAGAGGGTTTCAGAGGGGAGGGGGTGAGGGGTGAGGGTAAAAGGGTGATGGGTATTAAGGAGGGCACATGTTGTGATGTGCACTGGGTGTTATACATAACTAATGAATCACTGAACACTACATCAAACACTAATGATGTACTATACAGTGGCTAACTGAACATAATAAAAAATAAATAAAGAAGTTAATCAACAACTGATTGTCATTTCACTTTCATCATGCTTCATAGGTCTTTTTTTTTTTTTTAGCATCTTCATGCAGCTATATTTTCCTTATTTGAAGCTACCAAAACACACACACACTAAAGATTTTACAAACATCCCCAGCAGTTTCCCAATAATGTAACCTAAGGTCACCACTTACCATGAGAGCACAGGAATGAAGTTTAACTACTCTGAATCAATATTTGAAACAATAATCTAGCTCTACAAACAGAATACCCAAGATCAAATACTTTAGTGAATACAGCATCAGGACTGAAAAAACAGAGTTCTAAAAGATTAAAACATGATGATAATGTCTGTTGGGGGTAAGAAAGAAATGTAGAGAGGTTTGACATTCATGCACTCATATTTTTTTATTTTTTTAAGATTTTATTTATTTGACAGAGAGAGACAGTGAGAGAGGGAACACAAACAAGGGGAGTATGAGAGGGTGAAGCAGGCTTCCCGATGGGCAGGGAGCCCAACGCGGAGCTCCATCCCAGGACCCCGGATCATGACCTGAGCCGAAGGCAGACGCTTAACTGACTGAGCCACCCAGGCGCCCCATGCACTGACATTTAAAGTAATATAACTGACAGGGATGCCTGTCAGTTATATTTATGCCATGCATAAAGCTATTGGATAGGCATCATCTTACCACAAAGTGTGGGGGAAGAAGTGAACAAAGAGTTGCAAAGAAACTAAGCCCAAAGCATCCTTCAGGCCTGTTTACATATTCCAGCAGCAGCATAAAGTTATCCACCGTAATGTTCCTAAACTTGGTGACACAGGTTCTAGCGAGCGCCCTGAAAAACACATTGTGACCTCCATACCATACCAAACTGACATTAAAATGCTGCTGAATACATCAGTTGCAGGAATACAAGCAGATGTTTTGGAAATTATCTCAAGAAACTGTTTTCAGAGTCATCAGATTTCGCAACAAACCAAATACCGCCAAGACTACCACGAGTCCTGTATGGTTACTTCACTAATGGCAGAGCGGAAGAGTAAGAGAACACATCTACTCACTGAAGCTATCAGCAAGACACATTGATGTATTTACCCAAAGACGATGAGAAACATAATAGACTGCTAACGTATTAGTCATTTAAAAGGGGGGGGGTAGTGCTTAGAGGTGGGTAGTTCAATCTTTCTGAATTCCTTCTTAACAGTACATCGACAGGAGCTTTGAGAAACAGGAATTCCTTCACCTCTATGGCCCCAGGGGGCGAGCTGCTAGCCTCCGGGACTTCTTGGAGGGCAAAAGAGGGGGACAAAACTCGCCCAGCTCTGTCCCCGGACCTCCACCTCCAAGACGCCGAAGGGCTAGCAACGTCCACAGGCTTCAATGGAATCCCGAAGGGGGGAGGAGAGGAAGCTGCACTGAGGCCGCGTGGCAGCTCTGAGCTAGCTCAGTGCGGATCTCGGGGATCCCAGAGAAAATCAGAAATTTCTGGATTACCAGCCCCACCCCACCCGGCCAGATGCTCACCGAAGCCTAGGAAGCACATCAGCAAAAGCACCAAAAGCCGGTGCGCCAGGCGACTAGGGTCGCAAAGGGCCGGCAGCGCTCCGGGGACAGCCGAGACGGCAGGGGCACCTCTGCCAGCCTCATTGGGGCCGCCTTCCAGCAGTGCCCGCGCTTCCTCATCGTCCTCTTCCATTGGGTCGGGGGAAGACCGGGACGCGAGAATGTTGACTCCAAGACAAACTATGCTGCGGGAGCCCAGGGACGAATGTGCTCACGTGACGCCTCGGCGAATCACGCAGAGCCGAGCTCACGTGGGTGGCCTTGATCACGTGGCAAGCAGGCCCGGCCGGGTACGTAAGGAGGAGGCGGAGTTTCGCCATTCCTTCTGTTTGGGGGTCTTTTAAGCCTCTCTCCTTCGGCCTTCCACCGTGGAGAGCTCTGCCCTTTTATTTCCTGCCCGGCTCTCATTGCAGACTCGCGCAGCTCCAGCAGGAGAAGTGCGGGCCTCGCGTTGGGTTCCACGCCGGCCTCCTCCTGCGTGATCCGATGTGGGCTGGAGACAGGGAAAGGCGGGCCGCCCTTCTCGCCCCGTTGCTCTCCTCTGCCTCTTTGACTGCTCCTAGCATTAACACGTTTGCTTGAACACCTAATGATGTGTCAAGTGACGTGCCAGGTACTGGGAACACAAATGTAATGAGACGAGCTTTCGGACCTCAAAGAGTTTACGGCTTAGTTGGAGACATTGACAAAAACTTGTACTTTAAAAAAACTATGATGAATGTGGTGAGAACAGTGACTTCAATAAGCACTGAATTTTATTGAAATGCCGGGGCAGGGCATTTGGGAAAGGGAGAACAGGTGCACAGTTTTAATAGCTTTGGAGAAAAGTAGCCATAGAGGGGGGTGGGAAATGCTGAAGGTACTTGAGGTTGGTATCTAAGCAAAAATTAGTACAAATGAGCTGGTCGTGCTGCCTGTTTCAGGGGATGAGTTACTGGGAGAAGGGGAGGGGTGGGTAGGAGGGATAATAAAGATGCAAGCATGAAACAGAACTGGACTCTGTGTGTGTGTGTGTGTGTGTGTGTGTGTGTGTGTGTGTGTGTGTTTATTCGGGATTGCAAGAGAAGAAACTCAAGGGCGCCTGGGTGGCTCAGTCGTTAAGCGTCTGCCTTCGGCTCAGGTCATGATCCCAGGGTCCTGGGATGGAGCCCCGCATCGGGCTCCTTGCTCTGCAGGAAACCTGCTACTCCCTCTCCCATTCCCCCTGCTTGTGTTCCCTCTCTTGCTGTGTCTCTCTCTGTCAAATAAAATCTAAAAAAAAAAAAAGAAACTCAAGAGTAGGAACACTAAAGCTGTTCCATGAAGAGCCATGCAAGGATTTTTAGCAGAATAGCAAAAATACAAGATTTGTGTTTTTAAAAATTCAGTCTGGCAACACCACTCGATCCCCCGCCTTTCTGCGTGTCTCCAGGCTTTACGAAAAGAATTTTGAGGGTGACAATCCTAGAGGTGTAATTACAGTGGTGATTACTAGGTATTAGGAAGATCAGAGGTGGCAGGAGCCTACAATGGGGAAATAGGGATGGAGCGAAGGCAACAATAAGTACTTAGCAGGTGAAATGGGGATGGCTTTGTGAATAATAGCATATAAGGCCTGAAAGAAAAGGACTCGAGAATGTCTCCTAGATATCTAGCATAGGCCTCAAATAGAGGTCAGAATAAAGGAAGAGAGGAGAGTGTCAGAGGAGATAAATTAGTTTGGAACTTGTTGCCTTTGAGATGTCTGCACATGAGGTCTCCACTTTCTACCTCCCATCCTCTCTTCAGTTCCAAAAGAGTAGCTGGGTCTAATGAAACTGTTTTGCCAAGATGACTAACAACTCCATCTTCCCAATTACAGTGATCACTTCTCTGTTCTCACCTTACTCGACTTCTCAGCATCAGTTGATGCAGTTGACAGTCTCCTCCTTCATGGCCCCCTTGACAGTACGTTTGCCTTCTTTTCCTCCTAGTCTACTAGGCTGTCACTTCTCTGATTTGTCAGCTCCTCTTCTTTGACTTGAATTCTAAATGTTCAAGTGCTCCAAGACCCAGTCCTGGGCTTTCTTTCACTCATCCAGTCCCATAGCTTGAAAGATCATCACACTCTGTGCTGTCCACTAGTTAGCCATCACTGTGCTATTGAGCACTTGAAGTGTGGCTACTAATTGAGATGTACTGTATGTGTAAAATACACACCAGATTTCAGAAACTTAGTATGAAAAAAGAAAATACTGTGTGAATTTTTATACTGATTACATGTTAAAATGATAACATACAGATATTGGGGCAAACAAGGTATTACAATTAATTTTACCTGCTTTATTAATGTGGCTGCTAGCAAATTTTATAATTGTGTATGTGGCTTACACACATACATACTTGTATAAATGTCTACAGAGAGAGAGAAAAAAATGTGGTAAAATGTTAACATTTAGGAGATCTGGGTTCCAGGTATATGGGAAATCTTTGTACTAGTCTTTCAACTTTTCTATGAGTCCTATTACTGTATGACCTATTGCTAATCAAGCAAACTGACTTACTTTATAGTTACCAAGTGATGGAAAAATAGGAATGAGGGTATAGGTATAGACTTTATCATCTGGGACACAAGGCCGTTGGATTGACCAGCCATTTTCATTGGTGTGGGGATGGCTGCAGCCTCTGAAGCAAAGTTAGCCCCATAGACAGAAAAGAGGGTAGAGTTCTCTCGAAAACCTTAAGGTCTAGATTCAGCCTTCACATGCCTTTACTTACTACCACTCCTCCAGAGGGCTGTGTGGGTCAGAACATTCCCCTTATCCCCATCCTATGCAGAAGCCAAGCTGAAAACCTCATAGTTCTTTTCAGTGCCTTCTTTCCCTCTCTGGTCCACATCCACCCCACCTCTCCCCACCAGCCCTGCCAGTTTCTAATGTGGGATAAGAGTGAGGAGTGTCTGGTTCTTCTTGGGATCCCAGAAGCAGTAATAAGTGAGCTTGATCTCCAAGAATGGAGAAGATTGAGGGGGAATGGGGTAGGGAGGAAGGGGTTAAGGTATTTAAGGCAAAACAAAAACAAAAAAACCACCATATACAAAAGCTTAGAAAGGGATATAAAATTACATCAACTGCCCTATCAGCTTCATCCAACTCTATGTGGAAGATGTGCAAAGGAAAGCTTTGGAAGTCTGGTAAAAATAACTAGATTGATTTAAATCATGGGATTAAGTAGCGGAAGATAAGATTGCCCTTATATTTAAGAATCGAATTGGCAAAACTGGTGGCCCAGATAATGGGAAGAAGGCATCCACCAGGAGGTCTGGGGAGCCTTGGCTGATTCATCTACTAATCATTCTTTAACAGCCTCCTTTAGTTTTTTCTTTTTTTTTTTTTTTGTTTTTTGGTGTATTTTTTGGCATTACCATCGTGACCTGAGAATCTGTGTCTCCCATACATTTTGCCTGGTACCTTGCCTTTGACTGTCTCCAGTGTGGAGAAAGCTCTTCCCTCACCTCTCAACTCTGGGACTCCGGTAATGCTATTTTTTATTCCTTAACATTTCTCTCAGCAGTATGTTTGCAAGGAAGTCCACTCCGAATATCTGCTCCCTTTGCCCAGAATGTAAAATTCACTCTTTTATAAAGAACTATAGCATGACATAAAGTTGAAATGATATCTTCATTAAGCGTGATTTAAAAGCTGATTGAAGTAGAAGTGATTTTTCTTTTTTTTTAAGATTTTATTTATTTATTTGGTAGAAAGAAAGAGAGTGGGAGTGAGCATGAGCAGGGGTGAAGGGGGGCAGAGGGAGAAGCAAACTCCCTGTTGAGCAGGAAGCCCGAGGACATGGGGCTCGATCCCAGGACCCTGGAATCATGACCTGAGCGGAAGGCAGACACTTAACCGACTGAGCCACCCAGGCGCTCCAGAAGTGATTTTTCAGTAAGAAAAGATACTTAGTATATGACTTGGACTCCTTGTACATTTCTGCACCTTAATTTTTCCATGGGGTGGCTCAGGTGTTAAGTGTCTGCCTTCGGCTCGGGTCATGATCCCAGGGTCCTGGGATTGAGCCCCGCATCAGGCTCCCTGCTCCGCAGGAAGCCTGCTTCTCCCTCTCCCACTCCCCCTGCTTGTGTTCCCTCTCTTGCTGTGTCTCTCTCTCTCAGATGAATAAATAAAATCTTTAAAAAAAATCATATTTGTGACCTGCATACTTTACTGGGATGCCAAGGTGATTGTGGGATTTTTAAGCATGTTAATGTTCTTCATATGGAAAAAATATGAATGACAGTGAGCAACAAATACTAGTCTTAATGTGTTTTAGATACAAAGTTTTGCATCTAAAATAATTAAAGCCAAAGAGCAGTCTTTATGGATCTGACCCTCTATGGCCAAACTTCTTTTATAAAGCTCTAAAAGAATGTTTGCATACTCAATAAATAATGCTTTTTATTGTATAGAAAAATACCTAAGACACATTTAGATTTATTTTATTCACCTCCAATGGAATAATTCTGTTGTTTTCTTCATTTGTTTGTGGCAAATTTGAGTCCTGAAGGAGCAGAATAAATAATTCACTGGGGTTTCAAAACAAATTAGTGAGTAAACAAAAATTAGACCATAAGTTGCTGTATGACCTACTTGGAAGGACTGGTTAAAAGAAGGAAAAAAATTGCAAAAGATACTGTGTTAATATATATGACTATTCTACTGAATGAAAAAATTTATTGAAAGTACAAAAGTTACAAACCTGTTGGAAATATATGAGGCAATATGACAAAACAATAACAAAGAGATATACAATTAAGAATTAGAAGATGATCTGAAACAAATAATGCAATATATGTTAAGAAAAAAAAAAAGAAGAGATAGCAGGAGGGGAAGAATGAAGGGGAATAAGTCGGAGGGGGAGACGAACCATGAGAGACGATGGACTCTGAAAAACAAAATGAGGTTTCTAGAGGGGAGGGGGGTGGGGGGATGGGTTAGCCTGGTGATGGGTATTAAAGAGGGCACGTTCTGCGTGGAGCACTGGGTGTTATGCACAAACAATGAATCATGGAACACTACATCAAAAACTAATGATGTAATGTATGGTGATTAACATAACAATAAAAAATTTAAAAAATATGTAAGTTGAAGGTCACCCACCATTTCAGAGAGGGCCCAACACCATGTGTGGCCAGCAGGCAAGGCTAGGGAGAGTTTCCTTCTCCCATGACTTTCAGGGTGACCTTAAGAAGGTCCTGCTTCCTCTCCTTACCTCCTCTTTTTTTTTTTTTTAAAGATTTTATTTATTTATTTGACAGAGAGAGACACAGCAAAGGAGGGAACACGGGCAGGGGGAATGGGGGAGGGAGAAGCAGGCTCCCCGCCAAGCAGGGAGCCTGACGCGGGTCTCGATCCCGGGACCCTGGGATCGTGACCTGAGGCGAAGGCAGACGCTTGACGACTGAGCCACCCAAGCGCCCCCCACCTCCTCTTTAGATAACGTGGGAGCTGTGCACTATACTCTAGTCCCCCAAAATATAGCCTACTCAAGGAAAACTGGGGGTCCATTGCTTGTTTTATCTTTATGTCGAATAAACTTGCACTTAATTTTATTATTTACTAGGTAGCATTGCAAGTCTTGCTCCTACGTCTCTGCCCATCCACCCTTTTGTCCCCATCTCTGCCCCAAGAAACCACTCTAACTAATTTTTTTGGGTACCCTTCTAGAATTTATGTATGCAAATACAAATTTAGAGTCTTACTGTACCCCCTTTCTTATAGAAGTATGGGCACTTTGAGAATATGTGTCCTCTCGTCTTCAGGCAGAATATCAACAAGCTCTTTGAAAAATAAAAATGGTCCTTGTTAAGGAAAAAAAAAAAAAGAATTAGAAGATGAGGAGGGAAAGATAAGAAAAAATTAACAACACCAAAACCAGCCCCTTGGAAAAACAGCATGAGAAAGTAAATATAAGCATGCCCCTAAGGAAGT